GAACATGTATCTGGAGATAGAAGGTTAAAAGTATACATTTAATTTATATTTCCTTCGCAAATTTGCTAAAATAACCAAACCCACAATGGATGAAACAAAACAAATAAAATTAGAAGTGTAAATGTCTTAATAGGCAGGAGAAATTGAATCTTAAATCAACTGGGTAAAAGTGACAAAGAAACACCTAGCTCCCTGACCTCCCCATTCTTAGCATAAAACAAGAAGTGCATTCTTAGGGTAAAAAACAGATCTCTTGACTTAAAGTTTACCACATAGCACTAAGGACTAAAGCATGTATTTGGAACAAGATTTAATGACTTACACACTGAATGTAAAGATCCCCCAACTTTTCTTTTTTGTTCAGTTTCTGCATTTCCTTTGCCCTCTAAGCCTGTGTGATTCAGTCTTTGAACTTTTGTCCACCCTGCAAGGAAAGACCTGAAGGAAGTTGCTATTAGGGGCTCTTCCTACAAAGTTGAATATCCAGGTAACTCTATAAGAATACCTAGTTCCAGAAGTCCATCAGTGCACACTAGAACTTCCAAGCAGCACTGGGGGCAATTGTCAGAGGTTTATTGGGGATTGAAGCAAAAGCCTCTCATATGCTAGGCAAATACTGTGCCACTGAGCCACATCTCCAGCCTGTAAGCAACATTTTAAAACCTTTCTTTTAATCATAACTAGATACCAGTTATTACCATATATGTGCAGAAATACCTTATATTAAAGAAACCAGCTTTGGCATGGTGTGGTGCACACCTGTAATCCCTGCTACACAACAGGCTGAGGCAGGAAGGTCACAATTTAAAGGCTTGTCTCAAAATTTAAAAAAGAAAAAGGACTGGGAATGCAGCTCAGTCAGTAAAGTATCTCGCATGTTCAAGGCCCTGCATTTAATCTCCAGCAGAAAGAAAGAAGAAAGGAAGGAAGGAACAAACAAGGGAAACTACTCTAGAATGGGGCAGGTCAGAAAGCTCTGGCAAGGATTTCTCCAAGAAGGTGAAACTGCCAGAGTTCCTAATGTATTTAACGTAGTGGAAGTGAGGTATATATACAATGATGAAACACTTAAGAGGTCAGTTTTATGCAGAAAAGTAAGCAAATATAAAAGTAGTTTTCATAAGCCAAAAAACTCTCCAGAATAAAATAGGTCATGCTTCAACAGTGAATATTATTTGTATGGTAAAAATGAGTACTGAATAGTACTAAATGTAAATACTGAATATTGATCTAACAAATTATCGTACTTGGAATGGAGATATGATGGGAGTGATGGAGCATTCGTAATCATTTTCTGTGGTCATGATATGATAGAAATAGAAGCATATTAAACATCAGAATCAGTTATATTCAGGAAGATTGCCTCAAAGGAGCAGGAAATAGGGTGTGAGAGTAGTAGATGGATACTGTATTTATAATAAACCTTGTAGGACGGTTTCTCTTTAGAAGATGAAAATACATAAGTTTGGTAATAAGTATTTTGTAAGAGGAAGAGATAGGACAGGAGAAAGAAGCCTCCATTTGCCTATGTGGAAAATATAGATAATGATGCTTCTTTATCATGGAAGTTGTAAAAATTAGAAATACTGTCTATGAAGCATAATGTATGTCTTCTAATAGATGCTCAGATTTTTGAAATTTCATTTTAGTGCTCTGATTCACAAGTCAGTGTATAAATAAGCCTCCTACTACAAGGTTAGAATACACCATCTATGGTCAGTAAATGTAAGCTGTTATTATCTCAAGGTACTGCCTTGATTTGTGTGAGGAAAGGCAGTACAAAGCATGAAGAGGCAATATAGTATAGTAGGTACGATTTTCAGTTTTGTCACTCACTGGGTATGTAACCTGTTTTTAAGTCTCTAGTTTTTCACTTATGAACCACTTAGGGTACAGTTTGAGAATCTGTTACTCTGAATGCTTAGAATCAGAAGCGTTTCAGTTTCACATTTTTCAAATTTTGGAATATTTGCATGTACATAATGTTTGAGGATAAGACCCAAGTCTAAACATAAAATTCATTTGTTTCATATACATCTTATATACAGGTACAGATGATTTGGTGCAGTGTTTTTAGTGCCCCTGCATTTTGGCTGCAAACTATCATTTAAGGTCAGGTGCAGTGTTCTCCATGTGTGATATCATATTCTCAAAAAATTTTGTATTGTAGGATATTTTGGGTTTATGTATATTCCACTTGTAAAAGTTTTTTTCTTTTTTTTCTTTAAAATAGGCCTCAGAGAGCTAAGATGAGATTCTGGGCCAAAGGCAAACAAGGAGACAAGAAGACTACGAGAATAAAACCTGCCACCCAGTCAGAGGTTTTGGCACTCTTTGCTGGCTCAGATATGATTCCAGCTCATCAGTTTCCGGAGGGTAAAAAATGAATAAAGCGGGGTGTTTGTCTTTATAATTTTTGTTTTTTCTTTCTGAAAGTTTTCTATTCCTCTAATTAATATTCATAATAGCAATCTTGTTGGCTAAATATTCTAATATAAGATAGAATCAGGGTTGTTAAATTGCTTCCTTAATTGATAAAGTTACATACCTCTATCTGAAGCTCTAAGAACACGTGGCATAAAACAGTGATGCAGTAGTCACGTTAAGAATGGTTGAGGGGCTGGGGATTTATTTAGCTCAGTGGTTCCGCCGCCTGCCTTGCAAGCACAGCGTCCCAAGTTTGATCCCCAGTACCAAAAAAAAAAAACCCAAAAACCCAGAATAGTTGATTCAGTCTTAAGCAAGGCTTTGTTTTCGAAACTGCAAATATTGAGCCATCAGTCATCTAGCTAACAAATTGAGTGCTTAGTACATGCAAGGCACTGTACTAAACATGTTTTTTCAGGTTTCCCAGTTTATAGATGATAAAGGAGTCCAGCTCCAGAGTCCATATTTTTGAGCATTACTAAATGCTGTTTTATTAGGTGTCTGCTATGTATACCATTTTCTTGCAGATGCATGTCACTTTATAATGTATCTGTTAGTTTGGGGGACATGAACAATAATACACTTGAAAGTACCCAACTGTTACTCCAAGAATTCCAATAATCCCAATATTAAATTACCCGTTTTTTCCAGACATATCTGAGTTTTTAGCTACTATATAAACATGAAGTTATCTTCAACATGTTTATACATCAAAGGGCTGGGGATTTAGCTCAGTAGCACTGCACCTGCCTAGCAAGTGCAAGGTCCTGAGATTGATCCCCGGTTTACCATCCCCCCCAATCCAAGAGATGATCAGAGATAGGTACATGGTAGTGGTCCTAGGAGGAATCTGTTATCTCTTACAGAGAGATAGAACAGACCTACTAACAATATGCAAACAAATTACTCATATTTAGAATAAAATACAGGATAAGGAGGAAAGATCATCAGGCTTCATATAGGAATGGACAGACTGAACCCTTTTTGACTCTGAAAGAGTGGCAGAGATGTAGACATCTCTTTTTTTGTGTCTTGGAGCTTTGTTTCTGTCAGCTGTCAAACTAATGTAAAGAAAAACATTAATTTGTTAAGTAGATATTCCAGGTTCAGTTGGGAAAACTTAATTCCTCACCAGTGTGTTCCAGAGGTGCTACATTCCTAAATTCTGATCAGATTGACAGTAATTATTCTGAAGTTTTTCTTTTTCACAAATTTTTTTACTGCTAATTCCCAAGAAAGAAAGACATAGTAAGTTCTTTATTTGAAAATATAATTAGATATCATTGTGGGTTTGCTCCATAAAGACAGCTGTATAAAAGGATTATAGCTTTTTACTTACATTTGGATAGCCATTTATCAGGGAAGCCCTGGTTTTTAATGGTTAACTGAAGTTACAGCGCTTCTTTAGAACCATTACAAGAAAGGAGCTGACTGCCAAATGAAGTAACTAGATATGTAGTAGTCATATAATAGAATTATGATCAGTTGATGCTGATTAAATGTACCTGTATCTTTATATTCTTTATTCTGGCGTCAAATCTGAGATTGTTTGTCTCAGTTCCTGCCCAAAGTGGCATTTAGTATGTAAAGGGCTGCTTTTTGTATATGTGCTGCCAAGGCGAGCACTAAAGGGCTGCTTTTTGTTTTGTTACTAAAATTAGCTTTTAGATGGACAGAGAGTAAGGAACATACAAACAGGTTGTTTAACAAGCACGTGTGAAAGGAGGCCATTATTCTCATTAGACTTCAAATAGGGCTTGGAAAATCTCAATCTAGTTCTAGATTATAACAGATTACATGGGATCTCATTTCTCTGGTGTAAAGAATTGCAGGGAAAAATGGTGTGTTTCAGTGTAATTTACAAAACCAGTTCATTACAGGAATTCTGTGAGAAATTCAGACAGTTATTTGGGGTTTGTATAAGAAAATCCTAAATATAATGACACTCAAAAGTAAACCAACGACTAGGGATTTAGCTCAGTGGTTCCGCGACCTGCCTTGCAAGTACAAGGTCCTGAGTTCAATACCTGGTACCAAAAAAAAAAAAAAAAAAAAAAAAAAAAAAAAAAGTAAGCCAGGTTGCCAGCTATCACCAAATACTGTCAGGGAAGTAGTCATGATTGTAGATCGTAGTAAAGGAGAAATAATTACATAACTTCCTTGGTTTATTGGACTTGTAGATACAGTTATTCTTTAAAACAGATGTAGCAAAGTTTTGACTGGATTAACAGTAAGTATTAAAATGCTTGTGTAGTTTACTTTGTCTTTGTGTTCTAGCTTAATGTTCTGCAAGGTACTCCTACGTAAGTTTTCAGTATTTAACCTCAGCTCCTTAGGAGATACGATAGCATTTCTCACTAAAAAGGGTTAATTCTTAAATATATTTTCTGTACAATTTGTAATCTGGATTTACTACCTGTATGCTTGATTTCAAACATTACTTTGCTTTTTAAATACAGTATTTGCCTGTGTTTCCTTCAGTGACTTACTGATGGAACTTAAAAGAAGGACATGGACATTATCAATATATTTTACTAAATATATCTTTTGGGGTATCCTGTCTTTAATTGTAGAATTAGCTCAATATCAGCCAACACCTCCCTTGAGTCCAGAATTGCCTGGCAGTTGCCAGAAGGAGTTCAAAGAGAACAAAGAACCTTCTCCAAAAGTGAGGTGTAAACGAAGTGTGAAGATCAGCAATGTGGCAGTAGATTCCATGCATTGGCAAAATGACTCGGTCCAAATCATTGCAAGTGCCAGTGATTTAAAAAGCATGGATGAATTTCTTCTGAAAAAGGTATATTTTGCTTGTTAAGTCCCTGAACAGCTTTGGCTGTAGCATGCTTGTATGTAGCAGAATTTAATACCTAGAGATGAAAGTTACGTGTACTTCAGTATACTTTATCATATGATGCATGTAATCATATATCAATTAGACTAGAAATACAAGATTTGAGTTTTGGAGTTTACTATTGATTTCTACTTTATTTTAATTATCACATTACATTTCATATGTGAAGGTGATGCTTCTTGTTGCACATTTGGAGTTGTTTTTCTGGCAACCAATCTCTAGAATTATAGTGTTAGAAAGGATCTTAGAAATCACCTAGTAGTATTAGTAGTAGTTTCATTATATATTTATAATTCTACTTTTGTCTTGTAGCCCGTGGTTTGCACTTTTTAGGGTATTCATTGTTGAAGAGATGATATGTTTCTGCTGTTATAGTTGCCTCTTTTTAAAAAAATTGTTTGTTTGAGACAGGATCTTGCTGTGTAGTTCAAATTGGCCTTGAACTTGCTGTGTAGGCCAGTTTGGCCTCAAATTTGCAATGATCCTCCTACCTCAACCTTCCAAATACTGGGATTATAGGTGTGTGCCATCGCACCCAGTCTCTTTAAAAATTTTTATTTTTATTAATACATGTTTACATTTAATTAATACATTTAATTAGTGCATTATTAAATTCACCATGGGAAGTTGGTACATGCAAATAACACATTCTTTTTATGTCCGCTTTCCTCCCTTCTCCGCTTTCCATCTCTTGGTCACTTACAATTGTCTCTTTTTTTTTTTTTTTTTTTTTTTTTTTTAATGAGACAGGCTCTCTAAATTGTCTGAACAGGACTCAAAATTGTTTTTTTGTTTGTTTTGAGACAGTGTCTCACTATGTAGTTGAAACTGACCTGGAACTCACTGTGGAACCCAGGCTGATCTCAAACTTACAGTGATCCTCCTGCCTCAGCCTTCTGAGGGCTGGGATTACAGGTGTGCCCCACCACACGTGGCTAATTGTCTCTTTTAATTAGTTAATTGTGTACAATTCTTTCTGTGTTTTCCAGATGAATGATCTAGATAATGAGGACAGCAAGAAGGATACACTAGTAGATGTTGTATTTAAAAAGGCCCTGAAAGAATTTCGGCAGAATATCTTTAGCTTTTATTCATCTGCATTGGCGGTAAGTTTGAATATATTAGGAAATTTTCAGTAGTTTAACATATGAAACATTTGATAATGCTCTAGAAAATACATTTAGCTAGAGATATCTCAATTTCCCTTTTTTGTTTGTTTGCTTTAGAGATAAGGACAAGAATATTAAGTGGCCTCAGATTAATAGTGTCCCTAAATTTAGTTCCCCTCACTCCCTAATTTTGACCTGTCATGATTCCTTTACCTCTGTTGTAAGCTACTAACTTGAAATTCTCTGTTTTGTGAAATGTATTATACATTTTCCCCCAGTGCAATTAGGGTAGTATGTGTCCATTGATTTCTGTATAACATTTTGTGTCACTTTGAAATTTACTATATACTTTCACAGGGTATTTGTTATGTTTTAGAAAACTTTTGTTGATAAATTATATAATAATGTTTTGGTCTGTTGACTCATTAATACTCTTTGCCGTATTTATTTTATAAAATAGTAATAACTTTTTCTGTGTTTTTCTTTTGTTGAGTCTCCAATTCACTGTGAAAGGGGAAATCAGGAATACTTATTAGTGTATACTCTTTTGTTAGTACTTTTCTCTGCATAAGATTTGCTGCTGTTTTGGAAATCATAGAGCCAGAGCAAACAAGAATTTCAAAACTATAACAAATAGCCATCTTAAGACAAATGTTTAGGTTTGAGGAAGGAGAAGGTTGTCTACTTTTTTTATAATCCTGCCCTGATGCTTAAAAATCTGATATCTTTTTTGGCTTTATTCCTATAATTCCTAATTAGGGACTGAAAATGTCAAATATTCTAGTGTGCACTGAATCACATGGGAATAGATAGTATTGTGAAACATTGCTAACTTGGTTTTCTAACACTGTTTTTAAAAGTTCAACCTCTAAAACTGAGGAAAATAAAATTTAAATATATATAGTACTTTTTCATCAGTTGCTTTCTTTGTAGATTCTAGATTTCATTTAAATGAATTGAAAGGAATTCCATTTGATTCCTTTGCAAATAATATGAGCATGACAGTCTTGCAGAAAAATAAGTTAAAGGTTATCTAATGTATCATTATACAAAGATTCAAGTCTTTATTTTAGAGTAGTACTGTCTAATCAAGGTCATTTGTGTGGAAATCAGTAATAAAGAGAGATATAAACAGTTTTTACATTTATGCAAAATTAGAAAGCCAGGCTTTAGGGAGCAGTTCTCAGAACCTGCTCAATTATTATGTTGTTTAAACTGCTAGGTCTTTTCTAAAACTTAGGTTTTATTCTGCTTCCATTCCATACCGCAATGGGAGTTTCAAATGCCATGTGATCTCATCACTGTGCTTACTAGAAAGCATATCAGGAGCCTAATCTTTATTCTCAATTTAGTATTATCCATTATAAATTTATTCAGTCTTCTGAATTTAACACATTCCCACCAGTTTGAACCACTGGTGGTACATGCATGACTGTCCTGTTGGGCAGCATGATGCAGTCATTCATGTGTGTCCCTGTCATGAGTGTGTTAGAGAATTCTTCATGAAATCTTGTATTTCTTCTCTTATTTCTTATTAGATGGATGATGGGAAAAGCATACGGTATAAAGACCTCTATGCACTGTTTGAGCAGATTCTGGAAAAGACCATGAGGCTTGAGCAGCGTGATTGGAGTGAATCTCCAGTGAGAGTTTGGGTCAACACTTTTAAAGTGTTTTTAGATGAATACATGAATGAATTCAAGTCTTCTGATAGCATAGCCACAAAGGTAAATGTGATAAATTTTGGTACCTAAAATATTTCAATTATGAATTCCTTTTAAGAATCTGGTTAGGACATCTGATATTTAAGAAAAACATTCACAGAGAACATGTCAACCTAGCGTTACTATAGATCCTTCAAACTCCATTTTGTCTTACAAATTTGTCAGACCATATTTTCTTTTGTATTTTTTTTCTTTCTGTTGTTAGTTTATGTTATTGTACTGGAGATTGAACTCAGGGCTTTCACATTGAGCTTATGGGTTCAGGCCTTACTCTGAGAGAGGGCCTCGCTAAGTTGCTTAACTGCCAAGACTGGATTTGAATTTGCGGTCTGCCTGTCTCAGCCTCCCAGAGTATTATTATCACCAAACCCAGCTGTGAGACCACATTTTCTAAATCCCCTGCATTGAGTATATTCTTTACTGAGTTAAATATATAATGTTGTACCCTCAAAATTGTACCCTTAGCTTTAATAGAGATCAGTCCCTGAATTTCCTTTGAGAAACATTGGTTAGAAATATTTCTCATTGTAATATCTAGTGGTCTTTACCCTAAGGACTTATAAATTTTATTTCCTCTTGAATTAGTTTTTAGGAAAATATGTGTTTTAGCTTAAGGTCATTATTTTATGCAGAAGATTCTTAGCAATTTACAAGGTATTCTCCAAAAAATTGGTGAATGTTTTAAAATGTTTTGTAGTAAAAGACAAAGCCATTTATCCCCCTCACAATATTCCTCTTTCCTTGGAGCACACTATTCTATCATCTTTGGCACTTTCAGAAGCAATTCTGGAAGTCCTCTTCCTGGCTGTTTCTAGTTGCACTGTCATAGCTCCCTTAATGTCCTAAATCAATTCAAAACCTTTACTTTTCACGCTCATTTTCACTTGAGGAGCAAGCCATCACAGATTGTTGTATAATGTAACTATCAGGAAATATATGTAAAAGAGCTTTCCTATGTTGCAAATGATACCTTTTTATGTTTAGCTCTATAATAGTTTTCTAGAAACAAAATGTAGAAAGGGAAATCTTTAAAATTAATAACTAATGGTTAAAATAGTAATTTATATTAATGATACAGCTTCTGGACATACTCATCTGTATTTCGGAAGAGTCTGTATCTTTCCATTTTGTTGCTTTTATTAGCACTGTACATTTGCCTTTTGAAGAATAAAGAGAGTTGTTGGGCCGGGGGTTTAGCTCAGTGGTTCCACTGCCTGCCTTGCAAGCACAAGGATCTGAGTTTGATACCCAGTACTAAAGAAAAAGTAGAGTTGTCTATTACCTGCTGAATAAATAGCTCAACATTTGCAAAGAAGAAGAAATGATGTTTAGTTTTTGTTACCTCAATTTCTTTATTTCTTCCTACCCTTACCAGGTGCCAAAAACAGAAAGAAAGAAAAGAAGGAAAAAAGAAACTGATTTGGTAAGTCTTTTTTTCATTGTAAAAAAGAATTTTCAGGTCAATGGCTTGAATATCCTATAATGTTCCTCTGGATACACTGTATTTTTTTTTTGGTACTGGGTATTGAACTCGGGACCTTGTGCTTGTGAGGCAGATGGCAGAACCACTGAGCTAAATCCCCGACCCTGGATACACTGTATTTAAAGAATAGGTTTTTCAGGTACTTAACATGTCCCTGTGAGCTTAAGCCATTGAAGCCACCCATCAGCAAGACTTACAAATATGGCCCATCGTGTGTTAAGTCATATATGTCTTTAAAATGATTTAGAATGACAAATGTGTCCTGAATTCACTGACAGTAATTGTTTTCAGTGGTGGCTTCCTTAAATAGCAGACAACTGAAAATATTTACTTAGAAAGGTATAACCATAATCTCTTTTCTAACTTGGTCTACTGTCTTTACAGTTTTGTGTTCTGTGAACAGCTCATATAAATGGAATCATATAATTTGTTGATTTTGCATATGGCTTCTTAACATAATGTTTTTGAGGTCCATCTATGTTGTATAGATTAGTAGTTCAGTTATATTATGTGGAAATGTATTTATTAATCCTTATCAATTCATAGATCCTTGGATTGTTTTATTTTTTGGCTACAATGAACATTCATGTATAAGTGTTTTTATGGACATACAGTTTTAGTTCTCTTGAATACAAACCTGAAAGTTTAATTTCTGGGTCGTGTAGTAACTTTTTTTTTTAATGGTATGGGGAATTGAACTCAGGTCCTCGCACTTGCTGTGCTGCTCTCTGAGCTACAATGCCCAGGCCTCATTTGGTAGTTGTAAAGGTTAAAAAATTCAGAAACTGCTAAAGTATTTTCCAAGTGACTATACTATGTAGGGAATTCTGTTCATTTTGCATCCTCATCAGCCCTTCTTGTCTGTATTTTTCTTCCTGCCATTCTGGGCGGGAATGATTTAGTACCCTACTATGGTTTCGATTTGTCTTTTGCACATAATTAATGATAATTCAGTGGATCTTCTCAGTGACTGTTGGCCTTTTGTACTTCTTCTTTGATGAAATTTCTGTTCAGTTTTGACCACTTTTTAATTGGGTTGATTTATTGTGTTATGATATTTCATTATATATTCTTGAGGAAGTATTTTATCAAATACAATATATGATTTATAAATATTTTCTGTTCATCTGTCTTTTGTTCTTAATAACATGTTTGAAGGTTAAAGTTTTAAATTTTGAGGGCTAAAAGAAGAGATAATAATGTCACAACGTAAGTTTTATTAGTGTGGTTTTTCTTTCTTACTACATATCTGTAGTACATAATGCTTACATTCCTTATATGGAGTTGGTACATGTGATAACACATCTTCACTCCTTTTTTCATCTTCTTTTCCTTTTCTCCCACCCCTTTCCTCCACCTCTTGATCCCCTTTCCATTATGAAATCCTAACCTTTTTTTTTAATTTTTGGTACTGGGGATTGAACTCCGGACTTTGCACTTGCGAAGCAGGTGGTGGAATCACTGAGCTAAACCCCTGCCCCCTCCCAGTTTGAGAAAGAGCTATCTTCTGCTCCCTGTTATCTTTTATTGTACTCTTTATTTATAATTTGGATTTCTCATATAAGACAAACCGCGTCATATTTAACCTTGTGTGTCTGATTTATTTCACTTAACATTACGGTGTCAAGGTACATTCATCTTCCTACAAATGACTCAAGTTTATCATTTTTATAGCAGTGTAGTATATAAATACATTGTATGTGAATTTACATTACATGTAAATACATTTTCTTTAAGCATTTATCTGTTGTTGGACATATAGCCAGCTTTCAAAATTTAACTATTATGAGTTGTGCTGCTACAAACACAGCATGTGTCACAGTACTATGATGTCTCTAACTCTTTTGGCGAGATACCTAGAACAGGAGCAGCTGGATCAAATGCAACCTGTAGATTTAGTTTTTTTAGGAATCTTCATACTGATTTCCATGGTGATTGTACTAGTTTACATCCTCACTAACGATGTACGAGGGTTCCTTTTTCCCCTGCTTCCTCACCAGCATTTGTCATTATTTGATTTTTTTTTTTTTTTTTTTTTTTTTTTGGTACCAGGGATCAAACTCTGGTCCTTGCAAGGCAGGCGGCAGCACCACTGAGCTAAATCCCCAGCCCCTATTATTTGATTTCTTGATGATGACCATATTTTCTGGGGATAAGGTGGAATTTCAGTGTTGCTTTAATTTGCATTTTTCTAATGGCCAATGATGTCAAACATTTCTTCATGTATTTATTGGCCATTTGTCAGTTGTCCATTTTTTTATTGGATTTTTATTTTTGTGGGGCCTATTTTTTTTTAGTTCTTTATATATTTTAGTTACTAGTCCTCTGAGGAATAGCCAGCAAAAAAATTTTCCCCATTATGTATCTTTTCTTTTCACTCTGTTGGTTGTTTCTTTTGCTGTGCAGAAGCTTTTAAGTTTGATATACCATTTGTTGATTTTTGGTACTATTTCTTGTGCTAAGGGAGTTCTGTTCAGAAAGTCCTTGCCTGTCTATGTCCTCAAGAGTTTTACCTATTTTATCTTCCATCAAATTATTTCTGTTTTAATATTTAGTTCTTTGAGCCATTTTGATTTTAGTTTAGTACATGGTAAGAGATACGGGTCTAGATTTAATCAGGTGCATATGAATAGCCAATTTTTTGAACACCATTTATTAAAGAGGCTATCTTTTCTCTAGTGTATCCTTTTGTCAAAAATCAAATAGTTGAATGTGCAATGGCATTGTTTTCGCATCCTCTCATTATGTTCTACTGATCCTCCTCTCTGTTTTTGTGCCAGTGCTATGCTGTTTTTATTACTGTACCTTTATAATATAAGCCCAGGACTGTAATGCCTCTGCTTTGCTCTTTCTACTCAGAATTGCTTTTGCTATTCTGAGTCTCTTCTCATTCTATATGAATTTTAAGATCATTTTTATCTAGTTCTATAAGGAATGGTGTTACTTGATTGGGATTGGGTTAAATCTGTGAATCACTTTTGGAAGTATAGCCATTTTGATGGTATTGGTTCTGCCTATCCAGAAACAGGGAACATCTTTTCATTTTTCTGATGTCCTCTTTGATTTCCTTTTTCAGAGTACTATAGTTTTTGTTATAGAGGTCTTTTACTTCTTTAGGTTCATTCGTACATATTTAATTTTTCTTAATGTTATGGTGAATATTTTTTTCTAAGTTCATTCTCAGTGGGTTCATTATTAGTGTGCAGCAACACTATTGATTTTTGTATGTTGATTTTTGTATTCCACTAATATTAATGAATTGGTTATTCTAAGTCTTTAGGTGGGTTTTGGGAGACTTCTATGTAGAGGACGGTCTTATCTGCAAATAATGATAATTTGACTTCCTTTCCTTTTTTGTTTTTCTTTATCTTGTCTAATTACTGTTGCTAATGTTTCAGGTACTATGTTTAACTGAGTGTGGTGGTAATAGACTTCCTGGTCTTACTTCCGATTTTAGAGGGAAAGCTTTCCATTTTTCCCCATGTAATACGATGTTGACCGTAAGTTTGTCATACATAAATAGCTTTTATTGGATAGCAATAAGGTTCTGTACCTATTTTTTCAATTTATTGGTACATGTAAAGCAAGCAATACAGTTACATTTATCATTGGGATCTTGTACCTTTACGTGATGTGTCTTGGTTCTTGTTTTTTCCCCATAGCCCTGCCCTCCCTTCACCCTCTTCATGCTTCCCTATTTACAAAGACTTTGTTTCCATTTTTTCCTTTTTTCACATTTTTTTCTTTTTCCTTATTTCCTTTCCCCTCCCCTTCCCACTTCCCCTTTAGCCATTTTCTTCCTATTTCACACTCACAATTATACCATTTGAGTCTTTCACACCAGAGAACCTATTCAGTATTTATTCAAATGTGTACTATTTATTTCACTTAAGAGTATAGCCTCAATGTACATCCATTTAGCTATAAATGTTTCTGGTTTCTCATTCTTTATGGCTGAGTAGTACTCTATTTTATAGAAAAACTACATCTTCTTTATCCAGTCTCCAGTTGATGGGCATTCGGGTTGTTTCCAAGTTTTAGGCATTATGAACTGTGCTACTATAAACATGGGTGCACATATATCACAGTAGTATGATTTTTAAAATTCTTTTGGAAAGATATCCAGCAGAGAGATAGCTGGGTCAAATGGAACCACTGATCCTAGTTCTTTGAGGTATCTCCATATTGATTTCCACAGCGGTTGCGCCAATCTGCACTCCCACCAACAGTGGAGAATAGTTCCTTTCTTCCCACAGCCACGCTAGCATTTGTTATTGCTTAATTGGAGTGGGGGCAGGGTCTCACTATGTAGTTGAGACTGACCTGGAACTCACTTTATAGCCCAGGCTGGTCTCAAACTCACAGTGATCCTTTTGCCTCAGCCTCCCAAGTGCTGGGACCACCACGCCCAGCCTATTGCTTTATTTCTTGATAGCAGCCATTCTTTCTGGGGTAAGGTGCAATCTCAGTGTTGTTTTCGTCTGCTTCTCTTGAATGACTAGTGATGTTGAACATTTTTTCATATATTTATTTGCTGCTTTTACTTCTTTGTATGAGAAATGTCTGTTCATTTCAGATGCCTGTGTTTGAATCAGATCTTTGTATTTGGGGGGGTCTGACTTTTTTTGAGTTCTTTGTATATTCTAGATAGTAGTTCTTTGAGGAGTAGCTGGTAAAATTTTTTTCCCACACTGTAGGTTGTCTCTTAGCTCTGTTGGTGATTTCTCTTGCGCTGCAAAAGCTTTTTAATACAGTGAGATCCCAGTTGTTGATTCTTTGTGCAAGTTCTCATGCTGCTGAGGATTTGTTCATAAGGTCTTCTCCTATGCCAATGTCTTCAAGAGTTCTACCTACTTTCCAGTAAGTTTAGTGTTTCTGTTTTGATATTTACATCTTTAACCCACTTGGATTTTAGTTTCGTGCATGGTGAAAGATAGGGA